TCCTCCTCCTCCCCTCTCTTCTTCCCTTCCTTCTTGCTTCTTCTTGTTCTTTTTGTTCTTCATTCTCCTTCTCCTCCTCCTCCTCCTTTTCCTCCTCCTCCTCCTCCCCCTTCCTTCCTCCGCCTCCTTCGCTAATACTGTTTATTCGCTAATATCCGCCCATTAGGAAAGTCCCCGATTCCCCCGTGGGCGTGCAGGAAGACTTGGCGTGGGCGTGGAGGAGGGGGATCGATCCTCTGTTGTCATGGGAGAAGGGAATCGGAGAGGGGCGGGGAGAGGGGGAGGGAGGAAGGGAGGGGCGGGGAGAGGAGGGAGGGAGGAGGGGCGGGAGAGGGAGGAAGGGCGGAGGTAGTGGCGGTGAGGGTGAAGGGGGGAGGAAGGGAGGAGGAGAGGGAGAGTGGTAAGGGGAGGAGGGGGGGTGGGGTGGAGGAAGGCAAGAGAGAGGTAGAAGAGGGTAATGGGGGAGATGGAGGGAAGAGGGTGAGGATAGGGAGGGGAGAGGAGGGAATTGAGAGTAAGGGAGGGGAGTAAGAGAAGGGAGAAGGGCAGAGGGGAGGCTAGGAAGAGGGTAAGGGAGAGGGGTAGTGGAGAGGGGAAGGGGAAAGGGGGGGGGTGTTGTGGAGGTGTTCCCCTCGGACAAGTTTGACGCGGCGGCGGCGGGCGGCAGGAGCGCGTGTTCGAGGCGTGTGCGGGCGCTTATCTCGGGGCTGCGGCGGGGGTTGGAGAGGGGGTGTGTTAGAGTGTGAGTGGGTGGGTGAGTAGGTGTGTGAGGGAGAGAGAGTGTGAGGGAGAGGGAGAGAGAGTGTGAGGGAGAGAGAGTGTGTGTGTTAGGGTGAGGGAGTGTGAGTGTGTGAGGGAGAGAGAGTGTGTTGTGTGAGAGAGAGAGTGAGTGTGTGTGAGGGAGAGAAAGTGTGTGTGTGTGTGTGTGAGGGAGAGAGAGGTGTGTATGTGTGTGTGAGAGAGAGAGAGAGAGTGTGTGTGTGTGAGTGTGAGTGGGCGTGAGAGTGAGTGCGTTTTTGTGTGAGCCTGAGTGTGTGTGTATGTGTGTGTGAGTGATTGAGTGTGGCGAGTGTGACGCTTGTTGTAGGTATAGGTCTTAGGAAAAGAGGTTTCTTTCGTTTTGCCAATTGTCTCTATCTGATCTCTCTCTCTCTCTCTTTTATAGCCTTTATATGCCCGTGCGTAAGAGGTGTTGCTGTGTCAATGGTTGGCGACGTGTTGTACGTACGTGTGTCGCTCTCCCTCTCTCTCTATTTCCCCCTCGTCCGTGGCTGTCCCTCTGTCTCCGCCCCCCCCCTTTGCCCTCGCCCTCATCCCTCCTCCCCCTCATCCTCCCCCCTTTGCCCTCGCCCCTCATCCCTCCTCCCCCTCCCCTCCCCTCCCCATTCTTGCAATCGCTCGGCCTGCCCTTTTTTAGCTTCCCCCATTAAACAGTCTATCATCCCCTTCCATCGATATGCTCGTGGATTCCATCTCGATATACCACCGCTCTCCTCCCTCCCCCTTTTCACCCCTTCGCCCGCCCTCTCGCTGTGGTTTTGATGGGTTTGCGCACCCCATTCCCCCCCTCTCCCCTCTCCCTCTCCCTCCCCTCTCGCCTTTCCCCTTATGTGGGGCTGTTTACTTTTTTGTGTCGTCTTTCGTCTCTTTCGCGTTCTCTTCGTTTCTCTCTCTCCATTCTCCTCGCCAGTTTCCTTCTCTTCTCTTTCGTGTCTCCACTCTCCGCTCTATCCCTTCCTCTCCTCATTTCCTCTCCCTGTGCTTCCTTTTCCGCCTTTTTCGCCCTCGCCCTCTTCCCCCCCTCCCCCTCCCCCCCCCTCCGCCTCTGCAACTCTGGCCATTTACTCTGCAAATGCATCTACATTCAGGGAAATTTGCCAAGTTTGGATAGATACAACTGTGTGACTGGAAAATCGCAAAGAAACTCGGGCCTATATATATACATAATTCAAAATCGTGATTATGATTTTTTTTAATCATCTGCAAAATATTTCCTCCTTTCTCCCTCTCCCTCTCCCCCCCATCCCCTTCCCTCTCCCTCCCTCTCTCTCTCCCTCTCCCTCTCCCTCTCCCCTCTCTCTCTCCCTCTCCCCCCTTCCCCTTCTCCCTCATTTATGTGGACAAATTACCTTGACTTTTGGGCAGTTGAAAAGGTCTGCTAACAATGAGGTGGTTACGATTGTCCGTCCCTACACCTGGGCAGGTACTTCCTCTCAACTTCTGCTCTCCACCCCCTCTCTTCCCCTTTTTTGTATTCTCTCCTCACCCCCTCTTTATCCCCCTCCTCCCTGTCCGTCCCTTATTCGTCTTCCTTCTCTGCTTCCACTTCCTTCGTTCGCCTCCTGCGCCTCCCCCTTCGTTCGTTATTTCTTACTTGCTTTTTTCTTCTTCTTCTTCTTCTTCTTCTTCTTCGCCGTAAGACTTCATTAAACGGATTAATTTGCGTCCCATTTTGTGACTTTGCGTGATGGAGGGTTTTTATAGGAAGGATGGGTCGGGGGGGGGGGGGGTGAGACGGTACAGTTAATAAAAGTTGTCTTTCTCTTTCTTTTCCCTTTTTGCCTCACCCCTTTCCTTTTCTTCCCTTCCTTTGCCCCCCTACTCTTCCCTATCCCTATTCTCCTTCTTTCTCTTCTCTTCCCTATCCTTCTCCTCTTTTTTTCTCTTCTCTTTCCTCCCCTCCCTCCCCTCCCCTCCCCTCCCCTCCCCTCCCGTCCCTCCCCCCGGAAGAATGGCAGGGAAGCCTTAGTATGGGATCGCGTAGCCCTTTTTCCACAGCCTCGTAGCCTGGGCGGGGGCGGCACGTAGCCTGGGCGGGGAAGCTCTGCCAGGATAGCGTGTTTTCATGTGCGAAGGGGGGGGGTGGGGGTGGGTGTTGGGGGGAGGTTAGGTTGGGGATGTATCTGTGACTGATTTTGGTTTATTTCTTTTTTTTTTTTTTCTTTATCTTTCTATTTATATTATCTTTCTCTTTCTCTTTCTCTTCTCTCTCTCTCTCTCTCTCTCTCTCTCTCTCTCTCTCTCTCTCTCTCTCTCTCTCTCTCTCTCTCTCTCTCTCTCTCTCTCTCTCTCTCTCTTTTCTCTCTTCCTTTCTTTCTCTCTCTCCCTCTCCCTCATTTCCTGTGGTATTTCGAGCGCGTGCCTTGTGTGTGTGTCGGGACAGGCGGTGCAGTGTGTGCCTCGCATTATTGTACTCGGAAAAAACTTTTTGCTGGTTTGTGGTGTTTTTGTACCCCCTCTCCCTCCCTCCCTTCCCTCTTTCCTCCTCCTTCCTCCCTCCTCCCTGCTCCCTCCCTCCTTTCCTCCTCCCTCCTCCCCCCCCCTCTCCCCGCCATTCATTCATTCACAGACACAAACACACACACACGCCATTCACAAACCGTACTCGCCCGCCCCCCACCCGCCCATCCGTCGCCCCCCTCCGGCGTCCGCCACTCGCGGGAGGAGAGATCCGAGCGCGTCCGGGCGGGAAACACTCTCGATTCCCGGCGCCATTGGGTCAGCGTTTCGACGGGTGGCTCTCGGTGTTGGCGTCGCTGTGGTGGTTCGTCGGGGATGTGTGTGTTTTTTTTAAATTTCCGGGATACATGAGTTTTCGTCTTTCGTCTTTGTTTTTTTTCTCTTTTTTCTGTTCTCTTCTCTACTTCTCTGTCTCTGTCTCTGTCTGTCCTCTGTCTCTGTCTCTGTCTCTGTCTCTGTTCTCTCTCTCTCTCTCTCTCTCTCTTCTCTCTCTCTCTCTCTCTCTCTCTCTCCCTCTCTCTCTCTCTCCTCTCTCCCTCTCCCTCTCCCTCTCCCTCTCCCTCTCCCTCTCCCTCTCTTCTCTCTCCCTCTCCCTCTCTCTTCACTCAACCTCGCCCTATGTACACGTGTTATGTACGTTTACAATTTCCTTTCACTTTCCTTCAATTTTATCTCCGGCAGCGGGCTTCTGGGCTCTGCCTCTTGTTCAAAGACGACCTTGCAAGTCTGTTGCTGTTGCGCCAGAGAGAAGAGAGGAGAAGAGAGAGAGAGAGAGAGAGAGAGAGAGAGAAGAGAGAGAGAGAGAGAGAGAGAGAGAGAGAGAGAGAGAGAGAGAGAGAGAGAGAGAGAGAGAGAGAGAGAGAGAGAGAGAGAGAGAAGAGAGAAGAGATAGAGATAGAGAGAAAGAAAGAGAAGGTAGAATGCATGGCTCAAACATTGCACAGACACCGATAGTTCGCGACGTCCGACGTGAGAGTTCCGGCGTGCAACAGTTGGTTGTCGCGTTCACATGAATCGTAAATAAATATTAAGCCGAGTATTTCGCCGAGTCCCGAGTAGTGTAGTCCTGTGTGTGTGTGTGTGTGTGTGTGTGTGCAGTGAGCGGGCGGGAGGGCGGGTGGGTGTGGAGCGAGAGAGCGAGAGAGAGAGAGAGGAGAGCGAGAGAGAATGAGAGCGAGAGAGAATGAGAGCGAGAGAGAGCAGAGAGAGAGAGAGAGCGAGAGAGAGAATGAGAGAGAGAGAGAGAGCGAGAGAGAGAGAGCGAGAGCAAAAGAGAGAGTGAGTGAGTGTGTGAGCGAGCGAGCGAGTGAGCGAGTTGAGTGCGGCTAGCTGGTGAATGTATCTTGTTCCCTCGGTCTCGTTAAGTTAGCCTTCCGTGACGGTGTCGTGACGTCGAGCTCTTGTGGGCCCTTCGCTTCTGTGGGAGGGGGTGGGGGAGGGAGAAGAGAGGAGGAAGGAGGAAGGGAGGGAGGAAGAAAGAGAGGACCGGAGGGAGGGAAGGAGGAAGGGAGGAGAAGAGAGAGAGGGGAGGGGGGAGGGAAGGAGGAAAGGAGGGAGAGAGGTAAGGAGGAAATGAATGAGTGATGGAAGGAGTGAGGGAGGGATGGTGAGTGATGGAAGGAGTGAGGGAGGGATGGCGAGTAAGTGGGTGGGCGAGTAAGTAAATAGACAAGAAAATTGAGTGAACATGAACAAAACTTATATGTATCTGCGTGTCCATCCGTTCTCCATTGTTCTTTCTCGTTACTAACGCCCGCGTCCTTCTTTCAGAGCGCGGACGACGGCCAAGGCAGCGGGTGAGTGCGAGCGGTGCAGTCAGATGAGTAAGTGTTGAATTACCGCCCCGGCCAGCTGGTGCGAGCGAGCGGGGAGGAGAGGAGAGGAGAGGAGGAGAGAGGAGGATCTCTGTTGTGTTTACTGGTGTTACTTGTGCTCGCCGAGATCGCCCCACGTGTTCAGTGTCAGTGGCGGGGTTTGGTGGGGGGGGGGAGGGAGGAGGAGGAGGAGGAGGGGAAGGGAGAGGGCGGTCGCTTTCGTGCGGTGTAGGTGGGGAGCGCCCCCTCTACCCTCCCCCTTCCCTTCTCTTGTCTCTCCTCGCGTTCCTCCTTTCCTCCCTTGTCGGTTCCTTGCCTTCTCTCTCCTGGCTCTGTGCTCCTCTCTTTCGTCTCCTCTCTCTTCTACTCTATCCTTCCTTGCCTTCTCTCCTTTTCACCCCTCTCTCGTTCCCCCTTGCTATCTCCCCACCTCCCTCGCCCTTTGCTTTCCGCCCCACCCTTCTTAAACGCCCTCTCCCCTCTCCCTCTCCCCTCTCCCCTTTAACCCTTCCACTCTCCTCCCCTCCCATTTCTCTCTTTCATTCTCCTTTTCTCCCTTTCTCTATCACTCCTCATTTCCGTCGTCTTCTCTCTTCCTCCATTTCCCCCTCCCCCCTTCCTCCCTTTCCTTTTCCACCTCCCCTTCCCCCTTCCTCTTTCCCCCATTCTCCATCCCCCTTCCCCTTTCCACCTCCACCTTCCCCCCTCCCCCTCACCCCCCCCCCCATCGCACCACTTACCGTCGCGGGCGAGCGGTGGCGTGCTCTGCGTGCGAAAGGAGTCGGAGGAGCCGGGCGGGGGGGGGGGGGGGAGCAGCTGGTCGTGACCTGTGTCGTCGCCGGGGTGGGCAAGTCGTCCTAGGATAGAGTGTCTCCTGATCGATAAATGCTGCCGGGTGCTGGTGACAGCCGCCGGCACCCCAGGCCCCCTCCTCTGCTTCCCTACGCCCCCCCCTCCTATCCTTCCCTCCCCTTCTCTTCTTTCTTTCTTTCTTTTTTCTTATCTTCTCTCTCTCTCTTCTCTCTCTCTCTCTCTCTCTCTCTCTCTCTTCTCTCTCTCTCTCTCTCTCTTCTCATTCACTTTCACTCTCTCTCACACTCACTCTCACTCACTCTTCTCCCCCCCCTCCTTCCCCCCTTTCCCTCCCTCCCCTCTTCCCTCCTTCCCCTTAAGGTATGCAGGCAGATGACAGCGGCTCAAGTGTAGTTACAAGGGCAGGGAATACAGGCGGCCCGGAGGAGGAGGGGGCTTATTGGCCGAGGAACAGTGCGTCGGGCAGGCAGAAGGCAGACAGGCAGCACGGCAAAGCAGGGGCAGCAGGCAGGCAGGGCAGGCAGGAGGCAGGGTAAGGCAGGCAGGCAGGCAGGAGGCAGGCAGGCAGGCAGGCAGGGCAGGCAGGCAGCAGGCAGGCAGGCAGGCAGGCAGGCAGGCAGGCAGGCAGCCAGGCAGGGAGGCAGGCAGGGCAGGCAGGGAGGCAGGCAAGGGCAAAGGCAGGCAGGGCAGAGCAAGCAGGGCAGAGCAGGATAAGGGAGGACAGGCAAAGGCAGGCACGGTAGGCAGAGCAGGTAGGTGTATAACCTTGAGACGAGGGTGCTCCGGGGTCGCCGACTTCGCCATGATTCATTAACGCACAAGACCTCTCGGGGCTGTTTGAGGTCCGCACGTCACCTGCAGGGGGCGTGGGGGGGGGGGCTCCGGCAGGGGATGAAGGGGTGGGGGAGAGGTAGGGGGCAGGAGAAGGTGGTGTGGTTTGTGTGTGAACGGGCAGGGGTGGGGGGAGGAGTAGGGGTGGTAGGGGAACGGGTAGGGGGGAGAAGTGCAGGCAGGGATCACGAACAAGGGGGGGGGGGGGGATTGGCAGGGAAGTGGGCCAGGGAGAGGAAGGGCGACAGACAGAGGGAGACGCACTGACAATCCGAAAAGAAATCTCGATTATCGCCGGCGTCAACCCCCCCCCCCCCCCTCCCACGTCCCCTGATGGAGGACCTCGGCGTCTCGGCGGCGCTCGAGGAAGAGGTCGTGTTGCGAAGTGTTGCACCTGCAGAAGTGGCGTGCGGGGGGGGGGGGACAAGGGGGGGGGGAATGGGCGTCGGTTAGAGAGATTTTTTTCTCCAATTGGACGTCGGATAACTACCGAATTAGGGAAATATAAGATGAGGATCAATTATTATTGATACATGTATATTTATTTATTTGTTTCCCCTCTCAGCTCCCACATCTTTTTTTCACTCCCCCTCCTCTCCTTCCCTTCCCATCTTCTATCTTGTGTTGGTTTATGAGGCTTCTCTTGTTTCCGTTTCTGGTGGGTTTGCTATGGTCCTTCCTGGTCATTATCCTCTTGTTGGTTTTAAAGGCTTCCTTTGTAATTGGCTATATTGATAATGTTATTAAGCTTCTGGTCTGTGCGATCTGTATAAGATGATGGGAAAGAGAGAAAGGAGTTAAGGAATGCGCCGAGATTTTGATCAATAGATGTTGGTCAATGATAATATGTGCGATGTCATATGTGATAATAATTCTGATAATAATCGTTGTAATGTTGCAATGATAAGCAATGAGCATGAGGGCAATGATAAATGCAATGAGCAATGATAAATCATAGTAATGATAATAATAGTAATAATAATGAGAGGAGAGAGAGAGAGAGTGTGTGTGTGTGTGTGTTGTGTGTGTGTGTGTGTGTGTGTGTGTGTGTGTGAGAGAGGAGAGAGAGAGAGAGAGAGAGAGAGAGAGAGAGAGAGAGAGAGAGAGAGTGAGTGAGTGTGTGTGTGTGTGTGTGTGAAAGAGAGAGAGAGAGATAATGAGATTGAACTCGCTGCCCAGCTTCGAGAGATGGAGTGAAATCACAGGTGTGGCGAACACTTGTCTTTGTGTGTTTTTTTTTTTTCACGGAAGAAACGACAAGTTCAGTGCCAGGTTCAAGTACCTCGTCACCGCGCACGGGAAGGGCTGGTCACCAAGCCGCATTATGGCATCGCCCTCTCATATATATATTAAAAAGGAGGAGGTAGAAGGCAAAGTGTGAGCGAAGGCAGGGCGGGGAGAGGCGGAAAGTGGTGGTGGTGGAGGACGAAGCCTGGCTGTTGGTGTGAGGAGGGTGAGGAGGGAGTGGTGAGGGAGGGAGGGAGAGGGAGATGGTGATGGGGAGGGAGGGAGGGATGGAGGATGTAGGAGGGGAGAGAGGAGGGGAGAGGGGAGGTCTCCGAGTGAGTGGTGGTGGTGAGGGTGGGGATGGGAGTGGGAGTGGAGTGGAGTAGAGGAGGGGGGGGGGCGTGTGGTCACTGGTCTATTGATCACGCGGAGGGAGCAGGACCTCTTGGACCCTTTCCTGCCCCTGTTCCTCGCCCGCTCTCTCTCTCCCTCGTCGTCCCTCGCCTCCTCCTCCTCCTCTCCCGCTCTGCACCGCTCGCCTCACGCCTTCTGCTAAGCTTCTTACACTCCTTCACGCCGTTTCTCTCTCTCTCTCTCTCTCTCTCTCTCTCTCTTCTCTCTCTCTCTCTCTCTCTCTCTCTCTCTCTCTCTCTCTCTCTCTCTCTCTCCTCTCTTCTCTCTCTTTCTCTCTCGTTTATTCTTTCCTATCGCCATCGTGGTCTTCGCACCGTTTAGCTTTCCATATGTCACGTATCGCCGGTTTCATCTTCCACTCTTTACTAGATTCGCTACAGTAAGCTTCTTTATCTTCTTTCCCTCTTGTCCTTTCGTGCCTTCCCCTTCGTCCTCCTCCCTTTTTCGCTACCTTACTCTTTTTTTCTCTTCCTCCTCCTCCTCCCCTACTCCTTAACCCCCCCCCCCCCACCCGGCAGTAGGCCATGTCTCTGAGACATTTGACGTAATGTCGATACTCTAGCTCCTCCTTTCTCGCCCCCCCTCCCTCTTCCCTCTTCTCCCCTCTTTCTCTCCTTCCCTTTCCTCCACCCAGTCTCCTTTTTCTGTTCCCATTTTCCCTTTTTCCACTATCCTTTTTTTTTCTCTCTCCTTCCCCCTCACCTCCCGTCACTATGTCTCTCTTTCTCTCTCCCCCTTCTTTCCTCCTTCTCCTTCCCCTACCTTCTCTGTCCTTCCTACCTTCCCCCCTCCTTCCCCTTCCACTTCACCTTCACCTTCCCCTTCTTCCATTCCCCTTCCTTCTCTCCTTCCCTTCCCTTCTCCCTCCTCTCCCTCCCCCCTCTCCCGCCATCCCCCCTCCCCTCCCCCTCCTGGCGAAGAGGTCGTGCGTGGAACGGCCAGAGAGAGAAGAGCAGTTCACGGGTTTCCTCCGAGGGTCGTGTCGCGTGTCGTGGTCTTCGTTCTGGTCGTTCCCGTCGCCGTTCTTCGTCTGCGTCGTCGTTTGCGCGAGTTGGGTGGACGGTGGGGTGGGGGAGGGTAGGGGTGGGGAAGGGTTAGGAGGGGTTAGGGGTTAGGGGTCGGTTATTGGGAGGGGAGGGGAGGTGAGGCAGGGAGGAGAGGATAGGTGGATGGGTGAATGTGGGAGTTGGAAGAATGAGTGTGAAAGGGAATAAGAGAATAGGGAAAGAGGGAGAGAAAGGAATCAGTTAATAGAACAGGAGGATAGGGAAGTAGGGCAGTAGGAGAAGAGGGAATGGGAGAGAAGGAAGCACAAGGATGTTGGAGAAGAATCAGCTAAAAGAACAGAAGGATAGGGAGAGAATAGGGAAACAGGGAGAGAGAGGAATCAGTTAATAGAACAGAAGGATAGGGAAGTAGGGCAGTAGGAGAAGAGGGAATGGGAGAGATGTTTAAGAAGAATAAGCTAAAAGAACAGAAGGATAGGGAAGTAGGAGAAGAGGGAATGGGAGAGATGTTTAAGAAGAATAAGCTAAAAGAACAGGAGGATAGGGAAGTAGGGCAGTAGGAGAAGAGGGAATGGGAGAGATGTTTAAGAAGAATAAGCTAAAAGAACAGAAGGATAGGGAAGTAGGAGAAGAGGGAATGGGAGAGAAGGAAACGCAAGTACGTTTGTGCCAATAGGAGGAGGGACTCGG